AATTGATTTAAAAATTAAATTTTTAGTTTTGAAACTGTGGGAATAATAAAAAGAATCCTAATAACATTTTACACACCCTACATATAGTGAAATATGTAATAACAGTATTTAATTCAAAAGTCTCGCACATTTAATCCCTTTATAATAGGGTGAAATCATCCCTTAGAACAGATACGCCCATTCGTCATATACTAGAATTTTTTATATTAATAAAAAGGTGTATTTACGCCCTAAGAAAAACACAAATAAACTACTTTAAACAACTTAAACTTTATTCTTTACAAGTAAATTAATTCATACATACGTAAATACCGAGGTAAATACCTATAAGCAATACCCCCTAAAACTGAAAGAAACAAAAAATTAAAGCTTTACATTATGCTGGTAATGTGGCAAATTTTTAAAAAAATCAACATGTTCATTAAGTTTCATTATTGGTGTGGGCCCACTACACTACATAAGTCCATCCAATATTTATATTTTTCAGCAGATATTTTTGGACCATGGGGCTGATTCAAGCGAGGTGGTGAAGAGGAAGGATTAAGAGCTGTTCGTTTTAAGCTAATATATCTTATAATCTTCCTGCAGGTTGCTATTTTTGAAATAAATATTTCCAATACGGTTTTTTCTTACCATTACTTCACATATATTTTACCAGTCAACAGAGTTTCCTGCGTCGTCTTTTCTTACCGAAATGATTTTGAGAACTTGGGAAAGTTTTTTGAAATTTATGAAATCATCGGATGTTAGTAAGTGGACGATGAACTGATTATTCCTTCTAGCGAGTTTTAAAATTGGTGCCAACTGGGATGGTAAAAATAAATCACCTGATCTTTCAACAGCGTCATCAATGACGCTGTGTGCAGAATCACCTTCATTTTGACCGTATGGTTGCAAAAAAAAAAATATATAGAAATTGTTAATCTGCGTCGATAAAACATTTTTTTCTACGAGCGCGCAGAAAAGTGCACTTTTCCGCACGCATTTCAGATCCTGAAAGTACCACTTTTCCGCACTAGTGCGGAAAAGTGATACTTTAATGCCCTGAAATGAGTATAGTAGAATACATGGTCACTACTTGCAGTTTTTTGTTTCGTCTGTTCTCTCATTACATAACGCGTAATATGTTACCTCTGAACTGTAAATCTCCTCTACAAATTCGAGCCTCATCATTGGGATCTCAGAAACCGTAAGAGATACAGGGTCGGTTGAATCATGGCAAAGTTACGCATTTTAATGCTTAACAAAATGCCGCTTTGATATTTAGGATATTCCGAATACTTCCGGAGATATCCGGAAAAAACAGGGATATTGCAATTTTATTTTTTCCTGACTTTATTTGAAGTGATATTTCAACAAAAATATCCATCCATCCATATCCAAAAATCTGACGATTCGTCTTTCGGCTACCATCATCAACTTATTTTTTTAAATACGGGCCCTTATTGTTTATTTCAGATTTCAAGAGCTTCTGATGTTCCAAAACATATGACGTATCGCATTTATTCGAAAAATTTATATTATTAGCACTTTCCATAAGAACTTAATATGTTAGAGAAGGAAAGGACAGAGAAGATAATTTTGGTAAGAAATTACTAAAAAGTGAAAAAATATTTTTTTTTATTGATAACCTATTTCACTTATTTAAAGTACTCCTCAGCGTGTTTAAATCCAACATTCAAAAACGCGCGTGTTTTAAAGTTACCAATGACAACATCAACAACCAACAACCCGAGAAAGGTCTAAATGTCAACTTTTTAATTAGGCTCTCCAAACCACGTGATTTTTCAATATGGCGACCGTGGAAAATTTGATGTTTGTTTGTTTATCTCGAGTTTATTTGGAATATTTTCAAGCTAATTACAGTTTACTTTGTTATAATATACTTTTTGAGATGCAGAGTGAATATTCGAAGACTTGAATGCAGGAAAATCGGGATCTGGGCGAACGGTTAGTTTAAAAAAAATGTCCAGATGACATTTTGATCCACAGTTCAAATTAATGAGCAAATGAAGGCCTACAAAAGCTTAGATTCTTACGAATATTTCGAAAATGGCTTTATTTCAGATGCAGGAACAGTGGTAGTGAAAAATTTTCACGTTTTAATTGGAAAATTTTAAAACAAAGGGCAATGAAAAAAGCCTGACATCATCCTTGTTACCTTGTTGAAACTACTTCCACAATCAACTTCAAAATCCGTTTGTGGCATTTTCAATTGGAAGAAACACTAATGAAGTCAATAAAATAAAAAAATAAACAGATTTCATTCACAAAACAGCCACATAATGCACTTTAAAAAGCTTTAAATTACATACTCTCATATACGGGATAATGAACTTTTGCCACAACGCAATTTTTGACACACTTTTGACAAGTCGTTGGAATGCCTAATTATTGATTTGTCAGGAGTAGGTACTTGTAGATAACGTCAAATAAAATGTAACAAGTGTCAAGCACAAATTTGCATTCTACAATTATTAGTAGTTTATGATTTGAACGTATACCAATCGAAAAATCGCGCGTGTTTTAAAGACCTTAATATCCACTTATACTTTAATATACTATTTCCAAATAAATGCGATACGTCATAGGTTTTGGGACATCATAAGCTCTTAAAATCTGAAATAAAAAATCCAGGGTCGTATTTAAAAAATTAAAGTAGATGATGGTGGACCAAAGATGAAACGTCAGATTTTAAATTTAATGGTAGCATTTTGTAGGGAAAAGTGGCTATGATGAAGTGATATTTTTTGTGAAATATCACTTCAAATAAGGTCAGGACAAAATAAAAACAATTTTGCGAAATTTCGGTTTTTTCCGGATATCTCCGGAAGTATTCAGAATATCCTAAATATCAAACAGCATTTTGTTAAGCATCAAAATGCGCAACTTTTCCATAATTTAACCGACCGTGTATCTCTTACGCTTTCGGAGATCCCAATATTCCCAATGATGAGGCTCGAATTTGTCTCTTTTCAATCGTGTTCATTAAAGAAAGATAAAAAACAAGTAGCTGGTGATTGGGTTAATCGGATCAGAGTTTCCGAAAACACCTAATGATGCTTCAATTATTTACAATAATATGGCCCCGAATAGCCCCTGGGCGTATCTCAATTGTTTCCAATGGAGTATATGGCTAACAGGCGTAAGTCGAAATCCGCCCGTTCGTCATATTTTGAAACTTAATATTATGAGTTACGCCAAAACCTATTTCGTTTATCTGCAAACTGAGGGGTACGCTCCTATGTCATTAAATAATAGACCTAAAATAAGTATGTTTAGCAGGCTTATCTCAAAAACCTTATTTTTTGAGTACGCCCCTTTGACTTGATAGGGACGAATTATGAGTTACATATCTCGCGTTCCGAAGTTATCGCCTGGTTAGAATGTGGTGGAACGCCCTGTATATAGTAAATAACGTGTGCTTAAGCATGCTTGCATATTGAGACAAACAGGAATGGGTTTTAAAACCTGGATTGTACTTGAAGACTAATATTACGTCAATTTCCACGAATAAAGGCGCAAAAACAACAGTTTCAAAGAATATGCTGGTTCTCATAATAAATGTATCAAAATGTCAAAAATCGCATCAAAATCCAAATCTACTGTTGACCAACCAACTAGTATTTGCAATAAATTCAATAAAAGCTCGAATTTAAGCAAATAAATCATTCACGATAAATTATAATAATAATTATGTATTTTATTTTATTTTCTACTTTACTATTATAGATCCATAATACCTAGGAAACGAAATACGTTAACACACCTATAACAACCTGATCCATAACGCCCGCTTTTGCGGGCGTTATGATCTATAACGCCCGCTTATAATACCTTAAGGTGTTTTTGTTGTTGTTGTTCTATTAATTTGCACTTTACCCTAGGCAGCCACTAAATGTCTGACCGAAAATAATTTTCGGTCTAGCCAGGATTCGAACCCGGTCTACCATCAATGTTTCCCATGTAGTCCAGCGCGTTAACCCACAGGACCACCACCGTTGCCTTGCCTTATGAGATGTTTATAGATATATTAATTTATTTCGTTTCTATGTACAGGTCGCAGGTACAGGTACAGGTCACAGGTACAGGTACATGTCAAAATACAAAACAATATTCTGTCACACAAGTTTAACTGATTTTGTTAAGTACAAATTGATGAAAAAACATTGTGTTGAGTAGAAAATAAAGCATTGTATGCACCACGGGGATTTCAAGATTATAATGCCCTTCAGGCGAAATATATCCCTCGGGCCATAGGCCCTCGGGCTAGTTTCGCCTTCGGGCATTATAATCTACATAATCCCCTTGGTACATAAATAGCTATTATGGATCACGACTGTTAATAATTGATATTGTTCGAATAACTGGGAAACAGTCAGTATCATAGATTTATTACTCTTTTACAATCGCCTAGCTTGCGAAGCCTTTCGCTTCTTCTTCAGGGCTTGTAGTGAGTATCAATTTATCTGTTTTTTTTTTAAGTTTTTTTCATTTATGATATAATATAGATTTTTATTAAAAATTTAATATAAAAGTATAATGAAAATTATTTCAAAAATTGTAAAATATGGTATAATTTTTTTGAAAATTTTGATTTTTGAAAAAAAAAAAAAAAAAAATTTCAAAAAAATTATACCATATTTTACAATTTTTGAAATAATTTTCATTATACATTTATATTAAATTTTTTATAAAAATCTATATTATATCATAAATGAAAAAACTTAAAAAAAACAGATAAATCGATGGACTCACTACAAGCCCTGAAGAAGAAGCGAAAGGCTTCGAAAGCTAGGCAATTGTAAAAGAGTAATAAATCTATGATACTGACTGTTTCCCAGTTATTCGAACAATAATAATTATGTATTTTATATGATTCAAAATTTTTGGAGTTTTTGGTTGGTTCATTATTTTGTTAGTAACTTCCTACCTTCTAATGTTATGAAATTAAATAAATATTAATTTTGTTTGTTTCACATGTCCTTTGTTTGTTTCAGTATGCCCAAGAGAGTCAACATGAAAAGATCCTGCGAGGTCTAGCGGTTGGTATTGCATTTAATATGTATGGTCGTCTAGAAGAAGCAGAACATTTGATCGAACAACTGACCAGCGATAAAGATCCGATTTTACGTCGTTCTGGAATGTACACAATTGCAATGGCTTATTGTGGCACTGGACACAACCAAGCAATCAGGAAGCTCCTTCACGTTGCTGTAAGTACATACTAGAAATTCAAATACTTTGTTCCCAGTCATAGCGGAAGCACAAAATGATTGTTGCTACTAAAAAACTAAACAACTGAATAGAAAAAAAAATATCAAAAATGTTAATGTGAAACCCATACAAATTGTCACCTTCTATTTATTTATGCTCAGTAGCTGTAATTCAAATTTTTTGCTAAATAATCTTTGTTTGCATAATTTAAGACATTATTATTAATAAATTTCAAATGGTTAATGAGAGCTTGATACATTTCTTTAGAATCAGATTATTTTTCAACGCTGTCATTGACAACTGAACTTGAAATCGGTAGCAAAATCGCCATGAAAAAATATTAGATAGGCAATATTTCGAAAACTAAACATTTTCGGAATGGACCACTTAAAACAAACTTAGCCTTATTTTCAAGGCTACATACGATAAAATTATGAAATTCAGGGATGTGCATTTAAAAAATGTATTTTCGGCAGTTTTCTCAATTTTATTTTTAACTCTATTTTTTGAATACCCTGTATTAATAGGTATCAAAATATTATAAAAAATCAATTGAAGTAGGAATCCAACTCAAATCAAATATCAAAAGATTTTTTATAGGAAAAATTTATAATTATTTTGGGGTCTGCGAACGTAATTTTCGACATAAAAACACGGAATCTGTGTAGAATTTTGAGTAGAATCCAAAAATGAAATAATAGGGTATCCCAAAATTTCCGGTATAACTGGAAGTGCCAATATTTCAGCCGGGTTGCCCCCATTGACATTAGTATACTTATGGTCAAATAAAAAATAAAAAATCTGCATACAGTAAAGATCGATATGGTTCCCGGTGGCGGTTGGACACTGCATATTAGAAAATCTTGTTAGTTTTATGCAATTTGGTAAGGGGGTATAGGTACTTTCTGTGCCATAATTTCATCACCCTTAAGGATCGGGGTCAACGTTGCACCCCCAATAGAATTCATCGGCATTTTTGTTTTGGAATGTTATCACAAAATCTGACCACCTTTGCAAATATCCATGTAACAAGATTTTTCTACCAACCACTCATTATATTTAGGTCCTGCTCAATGACATCTTATTTCAACCAGAATATAATAAGCATGTATGATCTGCATATAAATATGGTTTTCTGCGTAGTTTATAAAAGGTGTCGAATGGAATTTATGTAGACCAAGAGACCAAGGCTTGGAATTATGTATAAGTACGTTGAGTACATTCCACAGGATCTTGCTATTGCCTTCTGCCCTATCAACTTCATTGGTATATATTTTTTTCTAGATATGTCTATGACATTTCTAAATTCTTATTGGGATGCTCTATATTTGTTCAGTGTAAAGTCTTTGTTAGGAAAAATCTATGTCTTTTATAATAAGGTCTGTTTGTTATCCTCCACTTATGCACACTAATTTACACTTTTTTGCACTGAGGCGATTGTTACGTATGTAATGTAACATAACAAATGCTTTAGTGCAGAAAAGTGTAAATAAGTGTGCACTAGTGGAGGATAACAAAAAGACCTATAATAGTCACATTGATTTGATGCTTGCGAGAGAATAAATTTGTAAAACGGCGTATTATGGTCCTCCATTTAGTCCTAGCCTAGCGCTTTACAAAAAAACCCTGCAAATTTTGTTAAAAGCATGAAATTTGGTAGGCACCTTAACTAGGTCAAATTAAGAGTTTTTGCCCGCAGTACCCAAAAAAATACCCCTATGGAGCAGCTCAGGGGCAGAGCATATTCTAAGGGGGTTGAAATTGCAAATAAATTTAATAATAACGAATGCGGGCGAGTAATATGTTATTTTGTATTGATTTGATATCGCTGAAGTCAATTTGAACAATATTTTTTTTAAAACTATACAATTTTCAAAATGGCGGCCAGTTTTTCAATTTTAAAGCAAAATTTTGTTAAATTCGCTAATGACGCTGATATTAAGAAAATTGTAAAATATGTGACTTTTTTATTTAAATTACAATTTCTTATGATATTTTTTGCCATCCTAAGTACCCTAAAAAATACTCCCTAGGAGCAGCTCAGGGGCGTAGCTTATCTAGGCGGATTAAATTTTAAAAATTATTAAATAAATTGCGAGTTGCACCAATCCAATATATTCATTTTTGACACAATTTTTAATCTATCTGTAAAAATTTATCAAAAACAACAACATTCTATCGCTTTTCTGGGAACTCTGGGCTGTAACTCAAAACCACAGAGAGTACCTACCTAAATACCTAATTACACGTATCGTAAAAGTTGACAGTTGTACGCTGTATCCCCACCCCAAATGTTTTAGTTTTATTCCAAATATTTTTTAGTAGGTATCCCCAACAATTTCATAATAGTTGCCATTTTCGAAAGTGAAATTTATTTACCTACGGAATACCTTGTTGGAAATGGATGGACGAACCAAGGGTAGGGATGCGCCGAAGCGACTTTTTTCTAATTCGGCCGAATACCGAATCGGTTTCAATTTTGCAGTGATTCGGCCGAAGCTTCGACCGAATCACAAATATTAAGAGATTTGTTTATAAACAAAAAAAAAACACCAATATTGCTTGAAATACCTATTTTTTCAAAATGTATTTCAATTGTTGGCTGCTTTGACCTTTTGTTTGAACTTTCCCCTTGCAATTCTTTATATTCTTCTACGTGTTTTCTTTTTAAATGATTGATCATAGATGTTGTGGAGGCATTTTTACCAAGACCACCTCGAGAAATCTCACCTTTACATGTATTGCACTTTGCGTATCTATTATTATCCTCACTTAATAAATAATATTTCTAAATATCACTCGACTTTTTATTCATTTTTACGTTTAAATACTCTAAATTGCTCAAGACGTTGCACGATTACGTTTAAAACATGAAATAAAAACTATAACCAAAACACTCACTGCGCAACTCAACAAGTCTCGACAAGAAATTTTTGTCGCCTCGCTTCGTCCGAATCCCACTACCGCTTCGGCCAAAACAGAATAGTAAACAAATAGGCCGAAGCAGCCGAATACCGAGGCCGAATCGATGCTTCGGCGCATCCCTAACTAAGGGTATTATTAGACCTCTTATTTCTGATATTTAGGTATATAGGATAGAAGAAAAGTGAAATTTACCGATTCTGGTGCTTCTTGGACCCTAAAATAATCAATAAAAAAACGAGAAAGTTAACAAACTTACATCTTGTCAGAGTTACAGCATTTTGCAATTTTTACATGCTAGAGTACATGGTAGCCCATATCGCCTACAAAAACAATGCATACTTTCACATCGTTGTTTGCATCCACACCTGTCAAGTTCTCTTAAAGCAGACCAGACAATGGGCAACTTAGAGCACAAAAGTGCTAGCGTTAAATATGTCTTTGACCAGCCCCAACTTAAAGGAGATGGAAACTGGTTTGTAGCAGTATTTAGTATTTGCTTGACCCCATATGTGGCCAGCTTCGTAAGCTGCTCTTAAAATGTGCTGCCTTGAGGCGCTGGATGTGGAAGAATCAAATTTATTGGCTCCATTCATTCCAGAGCCAAGGTCTTGAAGAGTGGTCGATTCGGTTTGGTGTTGATTCTAAAAGACGTTATATTGCTGTTCACGCAACTGCCAAAGTTCTCAGATCTGGAAAATCGAAAGCACTCAGGGGATTTTACACATTTACCAGATGTGATTCGGTTTCATTTATCACATCAAAAGGAAAAAAAAGTGCTTGATTTACATGAAATGAAGCCAAGACTAGAAAACTTTCATAAATTTAGGTGAGCCAGTACGATCCATAGAGAAGCATTTGAGTAGAGAAGAACCCTTAGAAGAATTTGTGGTAAAAATTTACGAGTCAGTGTAGTGCAAAAAGTGTTGATTCCGCTTGACAGGAGATTTTTTTAGCGGTCAAAAGCCAATAAATTCAATTCCGCCCACATACAAACCAGTTTTTATCTCCTCAACGCGATTTAACGCTAGCACCATTGTATGGTCTGAGTTACCCTCTGTCTGGTCTGCTTTGAAAGAACTTGAACGGTGTGAAAGTATGCGTTGTAGTTGTAGGCGATATGGGCTACCATGTACTCCAGCATGTAAAAAATGCAAAGGAGAATGCTATAACTCTGACAAGATGTAAGTTTGGTAATTTACTCGTTTTTATTAATTTTATTGAATATTTTAGGGTCGAAGAATCAGAAGAAACTTAAAATTTCACTTTTCTTTTATCCAATATACCTAAGTATCAGAAATAAAAGGTCTATAATAGCCTTAATTTGTCCATCCATAACCCATATCCATCAAGGTATTCCGTAAATAAATTTTACTTTCGAAAATGGCAACCATTATGAAATTTTTGGGGGTACCAACTGAAAAATATTTGGAATAAAACTAAAACATTTAGGTGAGGATACAGCGTACAAGGTACAAGTGTCAGCTTCTACGATCTGCGGCAAATACTCCCTGTGATTTTGAGATACAGCCCATTTTATTTAATTATTTCTAAAATTTGATCCCCCCAGATAAGTTACGCCCCCAAAGTATTTTTTAGGGTACTCAGGATGCCAAAAAATATCATAAGAAATTGTAATTTAACTAAGTCCCATAATATTTTACAATTTTCCTAGTACTAGCGAATTTAACAAAATTTTGCTTTAAATTCGAAATTTGGCCGCCATTTTGAAAATTTTAAAGTTATAAAAAAATTATTATTTAAACTGACTTCAGCGATATCAAATCAATATGAAATGACATATTACTCGGCCGCATTGGTTTTTATTTAATTTATTTGCAAATTCAACCCCCTTAAAGTATACTCCGCCCCTGAGCTGGTCCATAGGGGTATTTTTTTGGGTACTGCGGGCAAAATCTCTTAATTTGACCTATTTAAGCTGCCTACCAAATTTCATGCTTTTAACACAATTTGCAGGGTTTTGGCCAGAATTGTCGTTAACCGCTAGGACTAACTGATAAATTACGATTTTTATCCAAAATAATTCAAAGCTTTCTCAAATGGCTTGGAAAATATTCTATAACAGATTCCATTTAGCTAATTACCCTATATGTATAGAACAAACACTTTGTAAATGAGCTCTTCCATATTTGTTTTTTACGAGTTCATTCGACCCTTTGCAAAAGCTTTATCAATTATGTAAAGGACGTGTGAAGGTTTAATTTAATTAAATTTCATGGAGAGACCTTTTCGGCAAAATTGCCTTCAAATTACTTCAATTTTTCAAATACATATCGGGTTATCTTCGAGTAACAAAAGATGCCTACATGGGAAACATGGTGAGTAAAAAAAATTTGGTTGTCATTCGAAAGTATGCATGTTTGGGACGGCTAAAATTGGGCTTTAGAATAACCAAAAATACCCAAAACGGATAATATAAATTTGAACCACTAAGCACTATAAAAAATTTATAAAAATAATGTTGAAAAACTCGATTTTTATTTTAGTAGTAGAGAAGAGTTATTGGGTGGTATGAATACAAACGAAGTACCTACTACTACTTCAAAAATTAGTTTATTCTACGCAGTATTTACTTTAATAGGAAGTAGATGCTACATTTCGAAGTACTATCTTCTGGTTTTCCGGAAGTTGCTAAAATAATAGTATTCGCCTAAACATTATATCTACTACAGCTAAAAGTAACTACTTTTTACTCTGGGAAGTATTTGCTCCGTTATTAGCGAAGTTAGTATTATAGCAGCTTTACTGTCAGTGCAACCAAGTGATTATTTCAAAAATACCAATAAATAAAATGTAAGGATATTCATGTGATACTATACACTGTGATCTACGGAGCCCGTGCATTAAAAGTTGTCCAGTTTGTTGGTGGATTAGTAGAAATAGGGTCTAATCCACCTGCAAGCTAATGCACGGGCTACGTTAATCATCCTTTATAGGATCCCTTTCATTTTTTAAGAATAGCACGAGAGAATTTAAATTACCCACTTGATTTAAAGGGCTTATTATTAGAGTGGCTTGAATAGATAATAAAAACATTTTCTATTATTCAAATGCGCACCCACAAGACAAGCAGACTCAATAAATAAAGCTATGTAAGCTTTAGGAGATTCTTGTTTGTTTAGAAGATGTACGCGAAAATCCTATTACAAAATGTCCTCGGTGGAGAAGATACATTTTGCATTAGGGCTTAACCTGGGCCATGATCAATTAAATGATTTAGAAATAGTAAATTGCCCAGATGTGTACTGCGTCGTGCATTAGTAAAATGGATTCTTGTTACTATCCCTGTATTTCTATTTAAAAATTTAACATGTAGAAATATGTAGGGTCTTAAATCTTAGGGAAAAGTGATTTATGTGGGAATTCCCTGAATTTTTTATATTGTTTAGAGGAAGTGTTTCTGATTAAAAGTTACCATTGCACCAGAGTCCAATAATCAATAGTTTCGGAGATATTGGCCAATGATACTGGAAAATAAATATTTCATTTGTGTTGGGTAGAGTGTCGCCTTTTTGTATCTTCACGAGACTTTTTTAAACGATAAAATGGACTACTATTTGCTATACCTACTATGTGAACAATAACCACTATTTGAGTAATATTTCAATATAGTATTCTAAAATTATTTTGGAATTCGCTTTTTTTTATACATGACAGAATATGTATATGAATGAATACCTGACTGCCCTGAGTTCTAATACGAAGCATTTTATTTATCCAGTATCATTGGCCAATAACATCAAAACTATTGATAATTGGAATCTAGCGCAATGGTAACTTTTATTAAGGAAGACTACCTCTAAACAATGTAAAAAATTCTATGAAGGATATAAAATTTATTCTCTCGAGCGAGAAATGAGAGGGCGTTTTCTTGTTTCTATCGAAGAACATAATAGCTGCAAGAGACTTGAATATTTCAGTAAGTTGTAATATGCACGACTTTATATGGTTTGGGTTTCATTTAACATTTAACTTTTATATCTTCTAATTTTTTTGTTTTTTCTCTATTTGGGAACGAATTTCCATAAAAAATCCGACAGTCACATAATGTCTGCCCAGCGACTCTGTCTACGGGGCAACGGTAAGGGGAATGCAGTTGTAAAAAAAATGGCTGATTTCATTCATAAAATACCCAGCTGCGTGCGGAACTTTTTGGAAATATAATATTGTATTGCAACTCGTACACGAAAATTGACAATGACCAAATCCCCGCCACTGGATATTTCAATATAAATCGATATTCCAAGATGGGAGGATGCAATGACAGGAGCCCTGGCCAATAGCGAGACGTAAGGTGACGTTAGCCCACTGACAACCGCATGGTTTCCCGTGGCAACGGCGATTCTGCCAAAAACTCTACCAATCAGGTTCATCCAGGCTGAATGCTTGCCAAATTGACAAAAGCTGATCTTTGGAAAATGTTAATTTTTTATATTAAACAAAATTGAAGAAATAATTAATAAAATAAGAATAGATCTAACAATCACGTTAGCCTTAGCGTTCCATTATTGTTATCTATATTTTGGTATTAAAAAATGGATTTTCACATGAGCTATATATACTTCATGCCTAGTATTTTTGCTTTTTTATAATTAAACTTGGCAACATCGCACACTTACGTCCGAATTCCTTTCGTAGACTCAGAACCGCTGGGCAGACAATACAACCTGTAATATATAATTATCCTCTTTTTTCAGGTATCCGACGTGAACGATGATGTACGGAGAGCAGCCGTTACAGCTCTAGGATTTCTTTTATTCAGGTATGCTTTTTTTATGAATGTTTCGTGTCACCAATATTGTTCATGCCAGATTTCTGGATTTTTGCTGAATCTTTTAAAGGAGGGCCTTCGCCCTTACCTGTCAGTAGGCATTCAAGAAACATTACAACGGTTAAAAAATCGAGTAAACAAATATTGTCTAGTAACTAGGAAACACATAATAGAAAGGCGTTTTATAATTGGTTTTAAAAAATGTCACTTTAAATTGTTGCAGTTGAAGGATCAATTGTATCGCCTTTTACTTTATTAACGCTCCATTTTTGTTTTAAAAATAAATTGGAAAGCGAAAACAAAAAGCTACATTAGAAAAATCGCAATAACCATATTTAGAAACACAAGACGATTCTTGAAGTTCATATGAAATTGAACTTGACAGTAGGAAAAATCTCGCTTTTCACTCAGTTTTCAACAAGAATATTACATCAGAAATTTCCTTCGGCAGAACCAGCGGCATCTCGAAATTTCATTAAAAATACTAAGCGGTTTTCAATAAAGCAAAGTGAGTTATTGCTTCCGGGCGAGTTCAAGCATACTTCATGTTCCATCAATACAAATTCACGCGGCGTAACTAAAATTTCTCTCATATGTGGGCCTTGGGCAAGGAGAATAATGTTGCTGCCAGATTATACAATAGCTTCTAACTACTTGCTATAGCTATTGAATAACTGTATTCTGTATTGATTATGCATACCAATTACATTAATTTACTTCAATCAAATCAAATCAAAAAATGCTTTATTGTCGAGAAAACAATTCAATTTTTATTGACAAAACATATTAACTGAAATTTACAAGATATAAAAATTATGTCTAAATTTCATTTCACGGAACAAGATAGTGACAGTAAACAAACTTTGACAGGTAAGTAGAATTTTATTGGCGAGCAAAGGATTATACTCCGCCCTAGGCAGGACCGTCTTAGGTTGTTCTGTTTTTCTCTTCTCTGAATATATTTCCGAACGAATTCTTCAGCGTAATTGTTGAACTTGATATTGTTTTAATCTAAATTGCTTACTAATTAACAATAATTCACCAAACACTATTTAAATAATTGTAAAATACTACGAAATACGACATTAAACTTATTGATTCATATGACAACCTGACAATAATAAATGTCATTAGTTGTAATTCATATTTTTGCAGTCCTTCTCTGAATTTTTAAGCTCCGCCTGTTTGTTTACCTATACTATCTCGCTTCGTGGAATGAACTTTAGCTAGATTTAAAAAAGTAAGTACCTACAAATAAACATAAAAAATAAAATACAAATATGAAAAAACAAAGCCTAGTACCATTGTGAATAGTTTTCTCCGTCAACAACATAAAGATAAAATTAAAATATACATTGGAACATAATTATGTATTACAGTGTGTCCCGCTTAAGGACTGACCGACCTTCTAAAATTTTTATTTTTTAAACGATCGAATTCATTTTTTTTTGTCTTATAGCTACTCGAATTTGGCACTTATTAGGCTCATAATTTTATTTCTGCGGCTGTACTGGTGTACAGGGTGTCCACAATTATACGCTCAAGTTTCAATAAGTACTAAGGGATTTTTTTAGAAAAAATCTGATAGCAGATTCTCGTTTAGAATGGTCTAAAGCCCAAATGTACTCATTTTTGTTTCAATATGATACAGAGTAATCACAACAAATTTTCAAAATTTAATGGTTCAAACCGGAAAAATGTCATATTTTGATGAGGCCTTGAGAACAACAAAACTTGATACAACATAGTTTTAGAACATCCTCAACCAAAACTTGTAGTAAGCTTGTCTCAAAATATAACATTTTTGTGGTTTGATTCAGTAAATTGTGAAAACTTGTTGTCATCACCCTGTATCGTATTGAAATAAAAATCAGTACATTTGGGTTTTAGACCATTCTAAACAAGAATTTGCTATCAGATTTTTTCAAAAGAAATCCCTAATAGTAGTTATTGAAATTTGAGCCTATAAATGTGGACACCCTGTACACCAGTACAGCCGCAGAAATAAAATTATGAGCCTTATAAGTGCCAAATTCGAGTAGCTATAAGACAAAAAAAAATGAATCGAGTTGGTTGAAAAATAAAAATTTTAGAAGGGTGGTCAGTCCTTAAGCGGGACGCACTGTATATGTATAAACGCTAAGCAACAAGTAGTGGGCACAATAACAAGTCACAGTCACAATGCATCGGCGTGAAATTCACATCGAAGTAGGCCTTACTGGTCAGCGAAATTTTCAAAGTTCACCGATATCTTTTATACACGATATGTTCCGAACATGGGCGAGGAATAATAATTAAACGCTGTGGTGTCACCGTACCCCTTCTGGATTATTATTATTTTTTTTTTCAATTTCAAATTTCAGTGACAGTTTTCCACTTACCTATGTATATGTTGATACTATAGTGTGTGATTAATTTACCCCTGACTGAACATCAATAACAACTGCGAACTGCGGCCCTATAATGTGTGTGCTTGGTTCCAATGTTTGAGTTTGACCCCTGCATGATCTTTGTGCTATGATGATAGTTTCTCGGGCTACTCTGGTGTTTCACATTATAAATTTGATTCAAATGCAAATTAATTGCTATTACATTTAGGGCTTTCTGGCTTATGGTTGGTTAATTAAATGCGGAATCAGCCCCAAAAATGTCTATAGAATTTTAAATGTAAGACTTTTGAAAATTTTTAAGGTCATGTAGATATCCCACCTTTTGCCATTTGAGGTAATGTTAATTAGCCCTATACGTACTATACACCGTGGTTTATGTAGCCCGTGCATTAGAAGTTGTCCAGTTTGCAGGTGGATAAGTAAAAATAGCATCTAATTCATCTGCGATTTAATGCACTGTCTACGTGAATCACCCTGTATAGCTGGTAGCAGATTTCCACCCACTTGTTTGAAGATATAGGGTTAAACGTGTTTTTTTTTTTACAAAACTTTAGTTGAATCTCATTTTGTTGAAGAGAGGGTTAGGTAGAATTTTAGGTTATTTTTAAAGTGCCCTACGTCTTATTTACCCGTTCCTATTGGAAAACCATTCATTATTGTAGTCTATACCTGTGATCCAAAGTTTGGGTTTATTTCGCATCATTGTGCGGAAGAAAGAGATAGACGGCATGCATTCTCCCTCTCTCACACAATAGTGCAAACTAAATCCACACTTTGTATGGCACTCAACGACACAATAAGATAGATATAGGGGTTCTCTCCCAAGCTTTTTTTGATCCCATATTTTGCTTTTTGAAATAGCTTTTACCTACTGCCGATAAGTTGAACATTATGCTCTGAATGGCTATGTTTTGCATTTTCTTGAAATTCCAGATTTAATGCGTCGATTCTTTATGGTCACTGTCCTCGGTTATTAGTAAAAGTGTCAAATTTATGAAAACTCATTTTTAAAGCCAGATACCCATTTCATAAACCTGATTATGAATAGGCGTTGGAAAACCTGATTATAAAGATTAATATTCTATGATAAATAGCACCATGTTGCTGACTTTTAACGAGTGCTGTTCGGGGTCATGCTATAAATTAGAGACCAAATGACAGCTATAATATAAATCAGAAAGCTGCTTCCGCCGATCTGCATAAATAATTATCCTGCAATAAAGTCCGGAAAAATATTTTCCAAATAGAATTTATTACCTTGTCCATTAAGTAGTGATTACGTTTTCCTTACATGGATTAATTAAAGTGTTTTCAATGTGAACGGCCAGTTTTTCATTTCGGGTCGATTTTACAATTACGAAAGCGGGTTGGTAGATAAAAGTAGATATACTTTTCCCGAAACTTCCAAGCTTGAATAAATCTTATTTGAGACAATAATAATGACGTGTAGGCTTTGCCTCCAGGATATTATCATATACAGTGTGCGCCATAAAGTTGGGTACATATGGGAAAATCCTTAATTATTCCTTTTTTCAAAAAACTTTTTTAGGGATAGTTAGGGCATGTTCGATAACCAAAAAATCGATTATGACACGTCATGTTATTTTTTTGATGACCAGAAAATGTGCAAAAAGGGACATGGGTACAGTTATAGCGACACGACTGGACGGTATTTTCTAATTTATTACCCTCAAGTGTGTATTTCGCAAAACAATCGATTCGTTTGATATCAAACCTAGGTAGTTTAGTTGAATAAAGCTATTTTCGGAATAATAGTTATTTATTATACAAGACGGTAAAGCTTTTTTACCATCGTGTGTAATATTCTATTTTATTCTTGAGCAACTTTATTTATCACAATTAGTAAAATCATAAGCTAAAATGTGCTAAAATTTTACATAGATTATGACAAGCTAACAAAGTACCTAACAAACTGACACATTTCTGGTGTTGTCAATCATGCAACATAACAGATTTCTGTCAAAAACACTAAAATTTTTATAAAAGATTTGAACAAGTGGGTAAAATTGACGTAAGAGTGGGTAAAATTGACGTATGAGTGGGTAAAATTGACAAATGAATGGGTAAAAATTGTTCGATTTCACTACTTCAAATAAAGTGTTACTTTAACAACAAGTTTTGAGTCGATTAAATGATACTTTACCATTCACGATAGAATAAAATCAATTTATTCTATTTATTTTCGATTTTCCATTTAATGGTATGGGTAAAATAAGTTGTTTTATTTTATTTTTTTCTCTGATTTGCTTCAAAATCGGCATGTGGAGTTCTTTTTGGATTCTGAACAACTTTTTCTCATAAAATTTTTTGATATCTTGCCAAATTTACCTGTTTTTCGACATCAATATCAACTTTTTTCAAAATTCCGACTAAACCGATAATCGCATGACATGTGTCATAATCGATTTTTTGGTTATCAAACATGCCCTAACGATCCCCAAAAAAAGTTTTTTGAAAAAAGGAATAATTAAGAATTTTCCCATATGTACCCAACTTTATGGCGCACACTGTATAATACCACAAGAGAAAAAATTTTGTTGGCAAAATTTTCGACTGGTATGAAAGTTTGTTGCTTGGCAA